GCGTTTCTGATGGAGGTTGAGTGTCACGGGAGAGTGTGAAGAGAGTAATTTGGAAATAGAACTCTGGCAGCAGAGAAGAAGGGCCTGGGATCCCACTGGAAGGGCTTCAGGCCTTGAGCTTTGTCAGGGAATTCATCTGAAGGACAGAGAGCGCGGGGGTGGGGAGGTGGACAGAGCCGGGAGGGAAGTGCAGAAGCATGGGCGAGGCTGAGCGGTGGAGGACACTGTGCTCACTTTGCAGTTTCTGGGGCCTGCCATCCTGGCCCTAAGCGGGCTGGACCCCCGGGGCTAAGAAACTGAGACAGGCTGGGAGAGTTCCAGGGAGCATGGGCCTTTCTCTTCTTCCTGAAGCTCAGCGGAACCCCAGCCAAGCTCTTGTGCCTGCAGGTGTCAGTGTGAAGAAGGGGCAAGAGCTGGTGAACATCTACTGCCCCACCGTGATCTCCGATGCGGGACTGTTCAATACCTACGAGCGCTTACTGCCGCAGAGCGCCCGCAGCCTGCAGGGTAGGAGACTCCTCCACGATGCCCCTCCTCGATGCTCCCCAACAACTCCCCTTCTGGAGCCAAGTGCTCCACCTGGATGGTGCTTCCCCTCNGATGCTCCCCAACAACTCCCCTTCTGGAGCCAAGTGCTCCGAGTGGATGGTGCTTCCCCTCTTCTTGGCCACCCCTCTGACTGTCCTTAAGCAGAAGAGGTGGCAACGCTGGTCATCATCCTAAGCCTAACGTTTACGGTTTGGGAAACTGAGGCTAATATGGGTGATTTAAATTCCTCAGGTCCCAGCTGAATGTGGCAGACCTGAGATGGGAACTCTGGTCTGTCTGACTTGAAAGCGTAGGCTCATGACACCCCAGTGGGCAGGGAAGGGTGGGCCTTCCAGAGAAAAGGCTTCAGTAAAAGAGGCAGGAGACAGGCCAGCCCACAGGGAACAAAATAGCTGAGGAAGCTTAGGTGAGAAGCGACTTCAGGAGGTCATGTGACCTGAAGCCTCTGGTGTGATCTGCAGAGGGGGGCTGGCTGGCCAGAAGGGTACCAATACCCAGGAAGGTGAGAGAGGGGTCTCTGGCTGGGCAGNCCAGAGGCTTCCGCTCTGCAGCAGGGTGACTAGGGCGTGGGACAGAGACTGCCCTGGGCAGGGCCGCTGGGCCAGTGTGGGTGGCAGGAAGAGTATGCTCCTTCCTGCCTCCCTCTCTGGGACCCTTCTGTCCCTCCTGCCCTCTCTCCCAGGGCCTCTGGGCCCTGACTCTGTCCCACCCACGCCCACCCTCTTTCCAGGCAGCTGTGCTATTTCTACGTGTTTCTCTTGTAGTCGGTTACGGTTTTCACTGCTCTTATGTATCACAGCCCTGAAAACAATCTAATGGCACCAGCCCCAACCTGGCTGAAGGGCTGATGGCCCCCCTTGGGTGGGGGTCGGCTGCAGCCCCAGATGAATCCCAGTTTGAGGACATTTCAGGCAGTGGCAGTGGTGATACTCAGTTCAGGACCTTAGGTGCTGGGGCTCCTTCATTTCCAGCTGTTCGGGGGTGNGTGATACTCAGTTCAGGACCTTAGGTGCTGGGGCTCCTTCATTTCCAGCTGTTCGGGGGTGGGGAGAATCTCATAGTTCTGTCCAGCTCTCACATGGGAGCCGGATCCAGTGGCCTCTGGGACAGGCAGTGCCAGTTGGGGTGGAGAGTGGAGGTGGGGTGGTGGGACAGAGGGAGCATATGTGAATAGGAGAGTCTTAAATCCACCACCAGGACCTGATGGGTGACTTGGGATGCTTAGGAGAGGAAGGTAGATGGTTCCTTCCCTGCTCCTGCCAGCTGGGAGAGGAGGGTGGGTGTAGGCGGAGGTAGCTGCTCTTATAATGGGCCTCTGAGGATCCAGGGGTTCTCTCTATGCCCACCCACCCCACCTGGATGTGGGACTCAGGTGATGAGACGCTGCTGCAGCTCAGCACCAGGATGCATGAGGCAGGGCCACGCACTGCCCTGTACTGTGGCTGTGGAAACCCA